TACCTACAAATACCCCCTAGCTCCTTTGTGCTATAAATAGAGGTGTTCCCCGCAGTTATAAAGTGTCCCAAGTAGAATCATTCTCTCTACTCCTAAGTTTAGGTTAGTGGTGAGAGTGAGAGTGAAGAAGTGAAGAGCTAGGAGCTTAGGAGGAGTCTTCCGAAGTCTCTTTGTAACCTCTTGTAAGATACTTTTGCTTTCTATTTATATTTCCTTTAGTACTTGTCTTTATTTTTAGCATTTACTTTCTTGCAATTAGAGTAAAGTAGTGTTGTGAATATTTCGATCATATCTTGTTTAGTTAGTAAGTTTCAGATATATGGGATCCTCGTCACTAGTTGGTGCTCTGATCTTAGCACGAGGTTAGAGTAGTATCACTTAGTGTAAGCGTGGTGCTTGGACTATAGGGTACCTTGGGTTGTGGCTAGTTCTCCGGATAGATTGTGGTAGGTGGCAGGTGGTGACAACCCTGTCCATCCTCTATATTCCACGACATTAGAATTAGTTATTAAATTATAGGGCTCGTGGTGCTTTGTGCCTAATAAACCTTAGATTGAGTTTTGGGTAGGTATACCCGAAGTATATTCATTGCTTATCTTGCTAGACAATTGATAGGTTGAATTAATTAAGACAGTACTTCATTTATCTTCACCTACTCTGTGACCATAGTAGTAGTAGTAGTTTCTTTTGTTCTATTTTTAGTTAGTGTAGTTTACTTTCATTTACTTCATCACATTCGTACCTAGGTAATTTACTAGAATTCAGTTAATCATTTATCTGAGTCATACTACGCCTTCTTTATGAAAATAAATACGATACTTGGTTTACTGCCAAGTTAAGTGCTACATTGATATATTTTGTGCGCTTGCGGAATTAGTCCAATAGTCATAAGAAATATCGACAGCGCCTGTGTTCTTCAATCCAAATGGCATCGTGACATAGAAAAAGGAGCCTAATGGGGTGGTGAAAGAGGTCACGAGTTAGTTAGAGTCATCCATGGTGATCTAGTGGTAGCCCGAGTATGCATCTAGGAAGTAAAGGGTTTCACACCCAGTCGTCGAGTCTAGCTACCACAACATTCATGGCAAATGAAACTGATCCTTTGGACAAGCCTTATTTAGGCTCGTGTTTTCAACACATATCCTCCATTTCTCATTCTTTTTTTTAAGAATGGGATTAGCAAGCCAGTTTGGGTGCAACACCTTCCTTGTTAAAAGTAGCGGCCAAAAGCTTAGTGATTTCCTTCCCTATTGCCTTATACTTCTCTTCATCAAAGTGATGTAGGCGCTGCTTAACCGGCTTCACACCAAGCAGAATGTTTAGGGAATGCTTAGCAACTGCACTCAGGATCCCTGACATGTTATATGGTTCGCATGCAAAGACGTCCTAGTTGGCGCATAGGAAGTCAACAAGTGCACCTTGCTATTTGTTGAACAATGCGGTTTCGACCTACACTGTCTTTGAGGAATCCTCGGGGTTGAGCTTTTTTCACCTTGTGTCCTCCGCTAGCCTCTAGGAGGCACAGGCACCCTCGGTCGCCACCTGGGGGACCTCCGTGAGCTCAACAAAGGTGATGACGCTTGAAAACATATGACTTTACATAAGCAAGATATTTTGGTATTTAAACATTTAAGCACGTTCAATAATAGAAGCTTTAATGTAGGCATCTCTTAGATATTGTTATTCAAGAACCAAGGATTATAACAAAAGCATGGATCATAATCAGATATACCTAGATATGTAATCCATGGCTCGTCCATTGACAATATTTTATGACCAATTCTGTGATCACCAATAATAAGGTATACTACCTGCGGGGGGCTTGAGCCCTGACCTCCCCATTGCTGGATCCGCCCCTATTCTCTTCATTGACACAATATTTGATGATCAATGCCATGACGACCAATAATATTATTGATGCATGCATATACTACCCTTGTCCTAAAACAGATGCAATTCCAGTTCGTATTAAAGTCAAACTATCTTAAGTTTAATTAAGCTTATATGGAATAGTATCAACATATATGTATGACTCCAAATAGGTATACTATTAGAGAAAAGGTTTCACATGCTTTATTACAAAGAAAATTCATACAATTGAGTTCTGTATGTATTCTTGGTGCGTCCACCCACTGCACGACATCCAGATTTACTCATATAAGTTCAACTGTTCAAGTCTAAAAGACTTTGACTGCAAGGCAACTTCTGTTTCATCACAAACTCCGCTCGCCCAATCCTCTTCACTTATCTGGGGCACTGCAAGTACCCCAGTCCACTCTTGTTGCATTCACCTATTGTGCTGAACTTGATGTTAGATAGTTGCGATCCATGCTTCTCACTACTACAGAAAACTTACCGGAGACGGACAGAATCGATTAACGGAGGTAGGCATTGTAGCCACCCCCAATCAAAAGCCTCCGTTAATGCTGATTAACAGAGACGGTAGCTTTGCCCGCCTCCGTTAATCTCACATTAGCCGAGGCGGACATCTTAATATGCCTGCCACCGTTAATGTTCTCCAGAAATCAAAAAAAGCCAAAAAACTTGCAACTTTGGAGAGTCAAACCCGTGACCTAGCGCTCAACACTACCCTGTCTCTACCGCTGAACCGCACACTCATTCATGTCTATATATAATATGTTATTATTTTATATCAATATTTTGTAATCTTATATTGGATATTTTGTCTACTAAATGAACTCAAATGAAAACATTTTTAACTACAAAGTTTTAAATCTTGTCAAGTACTATAACTTTTAGTGTAGGATTTGTATCTCCATCAAAGATAGTTTGAAATTTTCAAAAAAAAATAGTCTCAAAACATGTGAATTTCAAACACATATTTGAGGCTCTAGATGACTTTAAATCATAAACCTGTCAATATCAAATATGTAGATCAGGTCGACCACTAGAACTTTGGTATTAACTATGTGAACATTTGAGGTCATTTAGGAATTCTAAATTTTAAATTTCAAAATATATAACCTTCGAACACATATTTGGGACTCTAAACATCTTTAAATTAAAAACTTTTCAACTACAAAGTTGTAGATTCTACTGAGAACTATAACTTTTGTATAGACCATGTCAACGCCCGAGGTCGTTTGATAATTTTAAATTTTAAATTTCAAAATTTGTATGCTTACAACAATATTTTAGGACCCTAAACATTTTCAATTCAAAAACTTTTCGGCTACAAATTGTAGATCTTATCGAGGCCTACAATTTTGATATAAAGATTGTCTTCATTTGAGTTCATCTGAAAAAACTATGAATTTTTTTTTTGCAATCACTAACTGAGACGAACATTTTAAGACGCCTCCGTAATTCCGAAAATAATCGATTAAAGGAGGCAGATGTCTTAAGTTGCCCGCCTCGGTTAATGGATTAACGGAGGCGGTCGCCTTCTAGCATTAACGGAGGCGGATGCCTTATGCTGCCCGCCTCGGTTATTAACTGAGGTGGACGCTCGGCCGACGGCCCTGCCATCGATTAACGGAGGTGGCCGCCCAGCCCGCCCACCTCGTATAATAAAATGACACCACCTCGCAAAATTTTTCTGTTGTAGTGTCTCCATCCAACCATCTCCGATTCCATTGTCTTTGATTCCAAAGCACCAATGCAACCCTCCACCCTTATTATCCTTAATTCTTCCTTGTATATCACCTTCCACAGTTGTAGCATCTTCTCCACTTCTCATAGCGGACCATTCATCCCCCTCCACTCTTGTCCTTGAAAACAAAATAAAATTTTGGGTTTTCCATAAGCACCACATCTTGGATGCACACAAATTTTGATAAATATATTTCACAATGAATCCAATAATACTTATTTAGATATCTTTTTATAGAAATGTGATCAAACTACAAATCGTTTGACCTAACCCTTTTTAAAAACTATTCTAGACTTGCACACTTTCTGGGACGACATGGTCTATAATCTGTTTGTGCCCTCATGCATGTTGGGTGACTCATTTGATATGTAGCAATTTCCTTTTGCTCCAAGATGCTTTCTTAAACTGGTTCTCGAAATCACCATCTGGAGAGCCATTTAAATAAAAATTACTCTCTTTATCTTTTCCACCACTAACAACTTCTATATATTTTGTGCACACTCTAGAGCAATGTCACTCTCCATCTTTACCTAGAGAGAAATCAAGAATAGAGGATGACAATAGTTGGAGATCCAATTAAAGAAGTTGTTGGAGGATATCTTTCACCAAAATCTCTATTCATATCAATAAGAACGAATATAGAGTCGGAGTTGCTCTAAATTCATGTGTTCGTGCTGATCTATTTGACGGCTTGCACATTCTATGCTGTCAATTGCTCTACGCTCATGTTCAGACTGTTGTTTGTTAGGTTTTGTCGTTAGCACTGTTCAGCAAATTTGATTGCACTAGTTGGGTGAACCTTTTCCTCCGTACACCCAATAGATAATCTGACAGGTGAGACCTTTGCCGACGAAGCCATCGTGTCACACCAGCCGTTTGGGTCTAGCTATGCGTAGGCCAACCGACCTCAGCATGCCATGAATGCACGAAACATTTCTTTTTGCATGCTAGGACACAAATCATCGTGGCAAGTTTAATTCATGCTCTGAGATGGCGTGCTAACCACGAACGATAAGGGGCAACAACTAGTGTGTAAAAACTAGTCATGTGTATGTGCAGTTTGGTGAGCTACTACCGCGACTGCCGCACCAAGGGTCACCAGCCTCGTCAGAATTCGGCTTACCAGAAGTGACCAGCAGAAACGTTCCAGCAACTGCCGAAACAACTACTAATAATATATAGACCCTGTTACTTATCAGCCAAAATCAGCCTTACTTTTTCAGACGTGAACCAATGTTTTTCTCTCCCAACAAATTAAATCTATAAATCAGCCGCCGCAGCGTCCTGCCGAACAGGGCTATAGCCGTAGCGAAAACGCCTACACATCCTTGGAAACTAAAGCTGGTATGCTTCGAAAAATTTAGTTCGGACTTGTGAACAGAGCAGAATGAAGCCACTTCCTACCTCTCCTTCCTCGAGCCCAAGACTGCTGCACAGAAGCAGCAGCAGCGAGTGGCACGCCGTGGTGCAGAGGAACGTCAGGTCCTCGCTGCTGCTGCTCCTGGTGCTCTCCACCATCTTCGTCTTCTCTGTCCTCTACTCGTCGCACGGCTTCGGCGCAACGACGGCTGACCAAGCGCTCACGCAGAGGCAGAGCACGGATCATGGAGCGATCGATCGTTTTGTGCCGGCACAGGAGGAGGCCGATCAACCGACAGTAGTCCCTGCCGAGAACAATGAGGCGCCAGAACCGAGCTTACCTTCAGACATCTCGTTGCCATCAGCAAACGGGTCAGCAGCTCCCACGGTTCCTGCATCGAGCAGAGGCAGAGCAGAACAAACTGGTGATCAGAGTAAGTGCAATTTTACAGTGAACTGTTTTGGCATTTCCATGCTATACAAAATGTTGCATTATCTGTGACAGTACTTCTAGGACATAGGAGTATTTGCTTGAGTGTTTGATGGCGGCATGCTTAGGTTCGGCAGGAGCGGCGCATGCTGAGGAGAAATGCGACATGTCCGTGGGGAAATGGGTGAGGGAGCCACGGGGTCCGGTCTACACAAACCTGACGTGCCCGACGCTGCCGGACATCAAGAACTGCCAGAAGTACGGCAAGGACCCCGGGCACCTCTTCTGGCGGTGGCAGCCCGACGGCTGCGACCTGCCGCGCTTCGTGCCGGAGCGGTTCCTCGACGTCGTCCGCGGGAAAACGCTGGCCTTTATCGGCGACTCGCTGGCGCGCAACCAGATGGAGTCGCTGCTCTGCCTGCTCTCGCAGGCCGAGACGCCGACGGACGTGTACCGCGACGCGTTCGACAAGTTCCGGACATGGCACTTCCCGGGGCACAACTTCACGCTGATGGCGATGTGGACGGAGTTCTACGCGCACGGCGTGCCCGTGCTCGGCGCCGACGGCAAGCCGACGCCCTCCTCTGACATCCACCTGGACAGGCTCAACGCCAACTGGACGGCTCGCCTGCCGGGGCTGGACTACGCCGTCGTCTCCGGCGGCAACTGGTTCTTCCGCGTCAACTACCTCTGGGAGGGCGGGCGCCGGATCGGCTGCGTCAACTGCCGCGAGCCCGGCCTCACGGACTTCGGCATCGCCTACGCCGTCCGCCGCGTCGTCAGGGCGGCGCTCCAGGCCATCGCCCGGTGCCGGGACTGCAAGGAGGGACTCGTCACGTTCCTGCGCACCTACACGCCCGACCACTTCGAGCACGGCTCCTGGTTCAGCGGCGGCTACTGCAACAGGACGCGGCCGCTGGAGGAAGGCGAGATCAGCTCGCAGAGCATCGGGTGGGAGCTGAGGAGGGTGCAGAGCGAGGAGGTGACGAGGGTGAGGGAGACGGCCGGGAGCACCAGCTTTGAGCTGCTGGACGTGACCAAGGCAATGATGCTGCGCGCCGACGGCCACCCCGGCGGGCACTACGACAAGCGGTGGGTCAGGAACGCCAGCGACTGCCTACACTGGTGCCTGCCCGGGCCTGTCGACATGTGGAACGGCATGCTGCTCCAGAGGCTTGCACACATCTCGCCTCAGCCGCTGCTGCGTTGATGGCCGCCACGTACGTAAAGGGATCACATTGGCATGTTTTCTTCGAGCTTACACACTGAAATATTGTTCTAAAAAATGCAATTCCAACACAACAAACATAAAAAAGAACGTGTTTAGCAACTTCTTTGTAATTAGATGATCCAACGATGAAATTCAGATTTATTCATGGTTTTCTTTCGAAAAAAGGATGTATTCATGCTTTAGTGATGATGGATATATTCAGATTTGTGCTGTTTCTGCGTTGTCCAACAACTGGTTGTTGGGTCAAAAGTCAAGACACATGAATGTCAACTACCTTTCTTTGCTAGCAACCGTGCAAGTGTGTGGCATCTGGACGGTCACCAAGTCGAGCGCATCGCCTCCATTCAGACGCCGGCAACAATCATCTTCGCCAGTATGTCGTTGAACGTGTCGACCAGCCCCGGCGCGCACCAGTGCAGGCAGTCGTTTCCCACGGTCTCCGGCACGGGGCGCCCGTCGTACGCGTGTGCGAAGAGGTAGGGCCCGGGATGCCCATCGGGACGCATGGTCGCCATCTTCGTCACGTCGAGCACCTCGAACTGCACACCGCCCCGCCGCCGCGTCGTCTTCGCTGCTGCCGTCGCCACCTCCTCCAGGACGACGTTCCTCAGCTCGGCGTCCGCGGTCGCCACCTCTGCCTCCCCGTCCTCGTACGGCTTCGTGCGCGAGCACGCGTCGCGGTGGTTCCAGCCGTACTTACTGTCAAAATGAGCCGGCGCGATGGTCGCCACCACCACAAGCTTGTCGCCGCCGGTCGACGACTTGGCATCGACGTACTCGAGCGTCCTCCGGATCACCTTGCGGTACACGCCGAGGTACCCTATGTCGGTCTTGTTGACGTCCGGACGGGAGTACACCCCGACGACCTCCCCGTCCTCGTAGTACATGGCCGGGCGCGGGAACCAGTGCCCCGCCGAGATCACCATGACGTCCATGGCGCCGACGTCCGCCGTCCACGGTTCGGTGAGCGCGTCCAGGACCACCGCTTGCTGCGTCATGGCGTAGTCCTCCGAGTGACCCTCGGCGCGCACGAGCAACGGCGACCAGTACGTGCTGACGTTGACGCGGTGCGGCGCCGGGAAGACCCAGCGCCAGAACTTGCGCCCCAGCCGCTCCTCGTACCGGTGCGCCATCTCTGGCCGCGCCACGGAGGAGAGGAAGCACACGAGGGCCTCCGCCTGGTTCCGCGCCGTGGAGTCGCCGACGAAAGCCAGGTGTTTGCCCCGCACCAGCCGGAGGAACTCCGCCGGGTTCAGCGCCGAGAGATTGCACCCCGCGGGTTGCCAGCGCCAGTGCAGGTAGCCCTTGTCCGGCTTGCCGTTGACCACGCACTTCTCCGTGCTCTTCATGTCGCAGTTCTCACTGTCGTACCGTGGGCCGGTGACGCTGTCATCCCACACCCACTTACCGTCGCTGTAGTCGCATAGCAACCATGCTGCTGGCCATGCAAGAGAATCAAATCGATCAAGAATGCAGTTATATCATATTGCAGCCTTGCATGCAGAGCAACATGTAGTGATTGATAACTGATATACACACGCATATATGTTCAAAAGAAGCGATGAATTGAATTACCTTGAGGAGGTGGTAGAGAAGAGTTCTTAGTTGTTTGATGATGTGTCTTCAACTGGACGAATGTGTCGGTGTAAGAGATGAAAGAAGCTGGAGGGGAGTAGAAGATGAAATAGACTAGTGTCAAGGTGAAGAGGGCAAACAGAAAACAACCCAGAAGCTTGGTAGGGAGGGAACAACGGCCATGATCTGCTAGCACTTGTGTGGTTGCACCCATGTCTGATGCGAAGCTCTTGCTATAGTGGAGGTTACATCAAAGTGTACTGTAAAAGCTGCAAGATCTAGATCTGAGTAAGGGACAAACAGCGTAATACTATTGGCAGGAACGGTGACAGTGGTATAGACAAGCACCAGTGTATATGCATATATATATACGTACGGTATATTGAACTGCAGACCATCAAGTGGCCGGGAAATTAAAACTTTTATCCGTAAGACGTGGGGAGCGCAATTTATTCTAAAAAAATAAGGCACTTGTTCTCGACTCTTCATTTCGATAAGTCAAAAGTCTAATCTTGGGATGTGGGTACGTTGTTATAAAAGAGAGCAGAAAACAAGCTATCAAAGAAAAGAATACACCTAATCTAAGGTGTAGACACTTTCCTCTGTGAAAAATAAGGACGTGCAAATGGTAAGTTCATCGTAAGTCACCACGGACAGAGATTACAAGTATCTGTATATGGATATTACATTAGAAAATGAACAGAGAGAGCATACATAAATATAAGTCATTTTCGTTAGCTGTAAGTATACTAAGTATGAATTTCCAATCACTGCTACACAAAATCTTTTCGGAGGTGTCGGGAACCTAATACCGGGGTAGCTAAGGAGATGGAACTAAATAACCATCGAACATTAAAAACTCCCGAACGGACAAGAGCACCGCTGTGCTTCTTGCCCGAACGACGGGAGTTTTGGTTCCGCCTCGCCCGTGCCCATCAGCCAGCTCCGCCTCCCCCGACGGCTGGGGAACGGCTCCACCTCGCCCGAGGGCTGAGGGCTAGACTCCGCCTCGCCCGAGGCCCATCGGCCGGCTCCGCCTCCCCCGACGGCTGGGGGACGGCTCCGCCTCGCCCGAGACCCGACCCCCGAGGGCCGGGCTCCGTCTCGCCCGACCCCCAAAGGCTAGGTTCCGCCTCGCCTGACGGACCTCGCCCCGCCCGATGTCCAAGGATTGGCTCCGCCTCGCCTGACAACCGCACCCCGCTCCCTCATGATGATAGGTACAGGGTAAGACAAGACGTTCGGGTCAGCCATGGCACCAAAAGACCATGTCCTGCGCCCCTACAGGAAAGTACTGTCAGGACATGACAGGACGGGTGCTTAGACCCTTCCAGGCGTAACAGAGCCTGAATAGTGTTGCAGGCGCGTGCTCTTCGCCCTACAGTGTTGTAGGCACCGCCTTCAAACCACCAGGCGAAGAACCTGACACGGACATACGACAATGACAGAGAGACTCCCGTCCTCTACAATGGCAGAACGAGCAGTCACCGCGACATCCGCTCCCTACGGGGTCGGGGTTCAGCAACCCTGTCCGACACGCCGCCCGTAGGGGCGGGATGGGACGCACCCACTTGCTAAAAGAGGCCAGGTCATGGCCTACGAAGATCAGCGAACACACCACTTCTGACACTGTCTGCCATGTTATACAGGGCAGGCGCTGGGAAAAAGGAAGACCCAAATCCTTCGAAGGACCTTCTATACCCATGGTATTTTTCTCTTTCTCCCATCTGTAACCCCTGCTCCTCCCTTGGTCTATAAAAGGGAGGGCAGGGCTCCCCACTAGAGGGACGGACTTTCAACCGACTTTCAACGAACAACTCACATACAGACGAACTCATAGAGGGTTCAATTCAACTCACATACACAGCCAAGCCGCCGTCAGGCTCTTGGCCTCCTTTCGACCCTTCCATCAGAGACCTGGGACCAGTCCCTCTCTCGACCGTTTGTACCCCCTACTACGAACCGCTTTCAGCGCTAATAACACGAGCAGCAACAGACTGGACGTAGGGACATTCAGCCCGAACCAGTATAAACCTTGTGTCCTTTAGCGCACCATCCGGGCCTAACGCGCATAATTATAAATTTACTAGTCGGTGCTTGTTCAAAACACCGATAGGAGGCGTTTTCAAAATAGGCTCTGAGGCGGTTGGGCCGACTACCCACCTCGGTTATTCATTGCAGGGCAGCCGGCCCAGCAACCACCTTGGCTAATGCTTAACCGAGGCGGGTGACATAAGAGAACCGCCTCGGTTAATACATTAACCGAGGATTAACCGAGGCAGACTTCTTAATAGGCCCGCTTCCAAAAATAGTCCATTTTTGGAGGTGGACGTCTTAAGAGACCCGTCTCGGTTAAAAGGCCCGAGGCCCACTCAGCAACCCACTCCAAACCCTAGATATATATACGCAGCCCCCTCTATGTTCACCCTCCACCTCTCCCTCAATCAACCGCCGCTCCCACCTGTCTCTCTCCCACGCACGCACTGCTCTCCCCCACACACTCTCTCTCTCTCAATCCCTCCCTCCACTCTCTCTCCCTCCTCCGAGCAGGGCAGTGGCGCCCCTCCTCCACAGCAGGCTACAGCGCCCCTCCCCCACAGCAGGTGACGGCGCCCCTCCTCCACAACATGGTCGGGTGGCGCACGATGACCGTGGGGTGGCACGGGCCCCGCGTGGGGCTGGTCGGCGCACGATGGCGCAGGGCCGGGTGGCGCGGTGACGCGGGGATGGGCCGTGGAACGCACAGGCGAGCGCATGGGCGGTCCCAATTCGTGGCATCAACCGGAGGTATGTAACCCTTCCTCTACGTGTACGAGATCCTCTTTCTCTCTCCATCTCTCCTCCTCTTTCCCTCACTCTCTTTCTCCCAGGGATCTGGATTGCTGGATCGAGCCAGCAAGGAGGAGGCCGGCCGCGCCGGATCTGGCGAGGAGGAGGCCAGCCATGCCCGGATCTGGTGAGGAGGAGGACAGCCACACGCGGATCCAGCGACGATGGTTTCCTACGTGTGTCCCTGCTCCTCAATGCGGCACGGCGAGGCGACGGTGGGGCCAGATGCGGCTAGTGGGCTGGGAACAGCTCGCCGGTGGGCTCGTGGATTTTTTTGTTTTTTATTGATTAACCAAGGCGGGCGTTCTAATGTGCTCGCCTTCGTTAATATATTAATCGAGCATTCTAATGTGCCCATCTCGGTTAATCGATTAACTGTGGCGGTTGGCCAACCGCTTCGGTTAAGGCCACGATTAACCGTGACATTTCGATTGAGGCGGTTGCCTTGCCCGCCTTGATTAAGCCATTTTGCCTGCCTCGGTTAAGATTCCTGCAGTAGTGAATACTTATATATCCAAATATTTTAGCATCGTTGGTTAGGCTTTGTACGGTGGAACCTATTCTCCTAAGCATCTTTATTTGTATTGTGCTTTAAAAAAAACACTACACACTCACGTTGATGGGCTAGCAGTTCCACGAAGATCTTTGTAACCAAAACCAAAGAGGATCTTGGGAAGGAGGTGATAGATGATCAGGGTTATCCAACGATAACATTGTCGATGTTTTACCACCGATAGCCTGCCACGGGGGTACCCGGGACAGTTGTTCGGGCTTCGGCGAATAGCGGAATTCGGCGGTTACGCAAAGAGACTCACGATTTATACTGGTTCAGGCCCTCGACTTAGTCGAGTAATAACCTTACGTCCAGTTTTGGCGTTAGCCTGTTTGCGTCGTATTGCTTTGAGTATCGGGTATGCGTTCTCTCCTTACAATGGGTACCCTCACCAACCCTTTATAGTCCAGGCGCTGAGAGGCGTTGTTTGTGTCCTATTCGGATACAAGGTCAGAGTCCTAAGCTACGCTTCGGGCGCCTTTCCTTGTATAGTTTGCGTTGGAGTTTTGGTTTTGCACGTTGCTTTGCTCCGCGTTCTTCTTGGCGATTGGGCTGTAGGCCTTGTTACCAAGGCCTACCTCCTTGCAGTATGGTCTATGGGGGGCCATAGGGTTCCCCATCGACAAGCCCCCGAGCATTTCATGATTGAGCTTCAAGGGCTGAGTTGTTGTAGTCTTGATCCGGGTCCTTCTTGAAGTGAAATCTTGATATGGTCTTCTTTGATTCTTCTTTTGGCTGATGTGCACTTTTGCTTGATGTCCTCCGGGTTCTTTTTCCTTTGAGTGCAGTGAATGCAATTTTGCAAAAATTGCACTCATTGAGTGTAGCCCCCGAGTCTTCTTTTTTTTGGTACAAAAAGCTGGAGGGTCAAAAAATTTGAAAATATGTTTTTCTGTGGTAGGTACTTGCAGCCCCCGAGCCTTCTCCGGGTTCTTTTCTGTTGAAAAGAAGCCGAAAGAAGGGTCTTGATTTGTACTCCTTTGATCTTTGTCTTTTGCTGGTCACGGATGGGTCTTGTATAGCCATGAGTGAGCGTCTTCTTTTACTTTTTATCAGGAATCTTGCTTTTGGGTACTATTCACCTTTGTTGCTTTGCTCTTTTGTTCTTTTCCTCTCTTTCTTGTGATCTTTAGCCTTGTTTACCTCTGGTTTGCTATAAATACCTTCTTTGTTGGTTGTGGTTCTGCCTTGAGTAGGAAAATTCTTCTTCAATTCTTTCTTCATTCGTAGATATGCTGGTGTGTGAGGTTGAGCAGCCCCTGGGCTTATGGTTGGTTGGTAATGATCATGTTTGCTCTATCTCTGTTCTTCTCGTCCATTTATCATTATTTTTTGCCGCCACTAGGTTCCTTGTTGCAATATTTAAGAATCTTGTCTCTATCTTATGTCTGAGTTTATCCGGTCCTGTTTGGCCGTCTGTAACCTTTGTATTTGTCTTCGATCAATGAGATTTATAATTTTTCTCCGTCCGAGTTCTTTTTCAACTGTAATCCTTTGACACTGTAATTTTGTATGTGATCCTTCACACGTCTCCGATTTGTTTGTTCGGCTGCTTATTGCTGCTGTTATTCTGATTGTTGGAGAATTCAATGTGTCTTCACGGGTTGTATTGCTGCTGTGGAATATTCTCTTGGATATGCTTTATCTTGTACTGTGGTTGTTCTGGGTATGTACTGTTCCTTCGTGATGGTCTAGTCACATCTGATTTTTTACTGAAGTCCTGGCTCTGCAGTGGTTCACATGGTTGTCCTTTTGGAGTTCTTTTTTCTTCCATGAGTCTGGCATATGTGCATCTGAGTTGTGCTATAAATATGGCCTGTTGCTGATACCCT